ATTTAAAAGAGTCGATCATCAGATATTGTCCAAGATTAACCTTCAGGGTGGATATAGCTCGCTAGCAGCCTCGCACCGATGACCTAGTTCAGGGATAATCAATTACAGTCCTTGAGGTCCGCAGCCCTGCATGTTTTACTTGTTTCTCTGCTCGAACATACCTGATTTGAACGAATAGATGATTATCAGGCTTCTGCAGAACTTGGAAGAGGTAATTCGCTGACTGAATCAGGTGTGTTGGAGCAGGGAAAAAAGTAAAACATGCAGGGCTGCGGCCCTCGAGGACCGGAATTGTTGACCCCTGACCTAGTTGATGTCATCAATTTCCCAGAATGCTTTGTGTGTAAATAAAATGGCCCCGTCCCTGTTAAAATATATTTTAAAACTTTTAATTGAAAAATTATAAAAACTAAACATCCTACAGTATTTTTACAGTCTTTATTTTACAGTTAAAGTATATGTTTATCATTTAAAGTCTAATGTTACAACTAATCGGGGATCCCTTTAAAAAAGTGAAAGGTGCTCCTGTCTTTTTAATTTAAATGTTAATGGAAAATATAGTTTGATATGTTGCCATTGTGTCGTTTAACTCAGAGCTTGTACTTCATTGTTGCCAGAAGATATGTTCTTTGCTACAAAGTAAAAACTTTAACAGACATCTGGTTAATACAAAGAATGTATTTGACTAAAACTAATAATCTTTTATATTTTTATTAGCATTTTGTGAATTTATTCACATAACGTTGAAGTGAAAGAAACAGGAAGTTGGCCTGGTTGCCAACCATATTGACATTTGCCTCCTATGTGGTTGTCACTAACTACTCTATTTTAAACTTAAAAATAATTTAAAGCTTCTGCTATACTTTTGGCATTAAAGGGCAAAAAAAAGAAGAAAGAAATCTCTCTCAAACAACAGAACATAAATGGTAATGCACATTTGCTTTTTATGTTTTTGACACATTGTCTTTTTTAAGTCTGTTAAAGGCAAACATCAGACTCATTTTATCTGTTTATTCAATCAATATTTTTCATTTAAAGTAGCTAAAGAATCTGTTAGCGGTTCTTTTAACCCATGTGTTTAAAGTCCTCCGGATCAGTTATGGTGACACATTTGCATTCGAATCAGTTTCTGCAAGACAACAACTGTTATTAGTTAGATGTTCTCAGTTTTCCTCTTTTTTTTCCTCTACTTGATCTTAAAAACCATAATTGTGTATGACTTCAACAAACATATTTTTTCATTTTTTAATGTTAATGCCAGAAGGTTGGAATTTATAAAAAAATGACTTGTATCGTGTCTGATTTATATTTTTATAGACAACAACAAAGGAAGAACATCCTGAAAGAGTTGTGATTCCATAGTTTTTGCTAAGGGTTGTATGTCAAATAAAGAAGGTCTAGTTGAATGAGGAAGTTTCTGTTCCACTCCCAGATCAATAGTATTGTGAATTTTTTTTTTCAAGAATGTAAATGCAGACTTAAATGTGGGCTCCCACCTGCTCTTTCTCCTCCCGTCCTGTCATGTTCTCCCTGCCGTCCTGCTCCTGTCTCTGCTAAGTGGATTTCCTGGCCAGCTCTGAGTGCTTTAGTACACCGTTCTAATGAGAGAGCATTATCTTTACACCACCTGTCTGCCTGCCTGTCAGCCAGCCAGACAGGTGGTGTATCCAACCCATTTTGGAGCAGGGAGAAAACATTGTAGCGTAATGGGTTTAACCGTGTAATGTAGCCAATCAGGCTGTGTTACTCATCTTGTTGCGGATCCCGCTCTGCATCAGATAGACGCTCACGATTCGTCCTGTTCTGTTGCTCAGTCTGGTCAAAAACATGGAAGTGTTTGAAAAAATGTCCAAAGAAAACAACTGGAGCTGTTTTAATGTTGATAATTTTGTAGAGTGTAGAAACAAACTTAGAAAAATAATTTGCAGTATTTAACATTAAGGGGAAATGTTAGGTAGATGTGCAATCTTACCTCTATTTTTATTTTAATTAGGGTACCCCCCAATAAAAAAAAGAAAAGCTATTTATCCCCAAAGACATCAAGAATTCCCATCTTTACACCCTGCCATCTTCTACTTCTCTCTCTTTTTTTGTTACAACAAATTACACTGTTTAATTTCATCAGCTTAGCTAGATTTCCTGCTCTGGCCCTCTCAGTGTTAGTGTGCATATCAGGTGTATACGTTTTTTTTTTAATTCATATATTTTTTATAGTATTTTTTTTTCACTTTACTTGGACTGAACTGGCAGAAAATGTTTCCAGCTAAAAGCAGACCAAAGTAAAGGTCAGACTAGAATCTGAAAGCAGTGTATTTGTGAGAGTTTGTTGACTTGTGGGTTGGTAGCTGTCTCCTTCCCTTCAGTCTGTTCGTCCTGCTTCTTATGCTACAGTTTTAGGCCAATGATGCACATTGTAACAATATATGTAACTAATTTATTTTAGAGAAGTAGATACACAGTAAGCATCAGCAACAAGTTTTTAAAACAATGTTTTGATCTTTCTCTGTCTGATTTATTAATTGTGGCATTTAACCAATAACGATTTAACATGACGATCATTAGATGACAAATGCAATTTTTGATTCTAAATCAGTTACACTGCATAATTACAAATCATCAGTCAAACTAACTTCTTCGTTTTAACAGATTAAAATAATAACCTGTGAATTAAAACCCACCTTTTCCACACTGATGAGCGGCAGCATCTCTTTAGTAAGAGTGACAGTGAGAGTGCATCACATGCAAAAAAATACATCACCTGACACAAAATATGGTAACTGCAAAGTGGCAAATGTTTTTCTAACAATTAATTTTACAGCAGAGCCGGCTCTTGGCATAGGCGAACTAGGCGTTCGCCTAGAGCGCCGAACTGCAGAAGAAAAAAAAGTAATTATTTGTAATCCCTGGTTGTAACTCTGCCCCTTTCAGTTAGCTTTGTCTTAAAAAACTATAATGAAGTATTACAGGAAAAATAAACTACTCTACTCATAAAACATTCCCCCACCCAATGCAGCAAACGCCCCTACCCACTCTCTCATTTGATTGACGTTGCACTGACTCGTCCTGCTCCGACACTCTGACAGGGGAGGGGCTAGTAGTGCCTTTCAGGTAGCAGTTCATGTTGACAAACTCAATAACAACAACTCTGTATTTTGTTGTACATGTCAACCTCTTCGGACGTTTACCTGTGTAAAAAGCCTCAAAAATCCATAAATTTTGCAAAAAATCCATACAACTCGCACCCTTACCATAGTACCTTACACTGTCAATCTTGTTTTTAGGGGTTCAAATTGGGGTGGGTGGGACATAGT